AGACTTCAGATGTCTGGTTCTCCTCTTTGGGGTTTGACTTGAATCTTTGTGTTCTTATTTTCTGGCTTATGTATATAAGATGAAAGTCCATGCCTCTCTGTTTAAACCTTGGTGTTCTCTATGATTAGTGAGTTGTTTAAAGTTAAAATGTTTGGTTTTTGATCTCTTATGATTGAAAGTGATGGCAAATAGATTGAGGTATTTGAATCATTGGAGGTTGAACCATGAACATAAAGTTTCTCAAATATTAGAGGGTGTTCTTTGTTTGTGAATTTTAATTGATTCGAAAATTTATATAGGTTTTAGAAGTCATCTCAGTATCTAACAGGTTTTCTTCGGATTAGTGTCTTTATTATGTGCAGCATGAAAATGTTACCAAATCCATTAAAACTCAGTTGTAAAAATCAATAACTCTTGATTTTATAGAGTATGTCGAAATCATTAAACAAATAACATAATATTTCGATTTAGGCTTTTACATTAATTAATGATAAGAATTTTTTTTAAACAGTCTTGGCCAATTAGAGCCGACCTGAGTAATAGTAGTTGAAAGAAATGACTTCTTGGCAAGGATAAGGTTGGCAACAACAATAGTGGATGAGGAGGTCGAAAAATCAGCGCAATAAATTTGAACAGAAACTCTCGCATATGTCAAGATTGATCCGATCCAAAAGTTTTTGCTATTTTTCACGGACATAGTTGTCAGTTTACCAGTTTGACCCCAAAAAAATTGTCAGTTTACCGGTGTTATTTCACATTTTTCTCTTGTAGCAAGTAAAAAAGTTATGCCAAATGGATCGCTACTTATTTTCATTTAGTGATGGTTCACTTTTGTGTTAGTATCATCATCTATAGTTATATGACAAATGATCTCTATCAAAATATCATATAACCAAGAATATATTCCAAAAGAAATTCTATTTGGTTTGAAAGATATTATAATCTTAGCGACTCATTATGTGTGAAAAATGGACATGAATATAAAGAAACAGTATGAAAATATTATTTCCTTCGGATATTCCCAATATATACTACCTGCGTATTCTCTATACAAAAACCAATGGTAGTTAATTAACCAAAAGAAAAAAAAAATCATAGA